TTATTTTTACTGAAGAGGGCCAGATTGTAGCCGAAACGTTTAATGTTTTTATTGTAATTCGTAATGCAAGAATAATTAAATATCACTAACTATATCTGCTGTGGTTCTTTATGCTCTTTCTTTTCATATATTTTTGAAAATAGAAATAATATGATCAACTAAGGAACCGAAGATACACACATCGACTGTAACGTTTCTTTAATATTTTTGTTACTTAGGATGGATTCTAAATAATCTATTAAAAACGTATACAAAGAAGAGAAACGCTTAAAAACCACCGCATAAGTTAGTGTTAGTTATAATTTATTGTTACTTTGTGATATTTAATTATCATTACATTAATTAAAACATTAGACGTTTCGGCCACAATTTAGTCATCCTCAGTAAATTCACAATATTCTGAAGGGGGGAAACCACAGTAAAAGTTTGAAATTCTCGTTCTACACTTTTTACTACATGACTTCTGACGTACTAACATTATTATATGAAGCAGCGTCTTTGATGCAAACACGATCTTTACAATTATAACACACGAGGGTTGAATTTGATTCCAACTTGATGTAACTCTGCGTCTTAAGAATATTATTAATTTTACTGAAGATGGCCAGATTGTAGCCGAAACGTTTAATGTTTTTATTGTAATTCGTAATGCAAGAATAATTAAATATCACTAACTATATCTGCTGTGGTTCTTTATGCTCTTTCTTTTCATATATTTTTGAAAATAGAAATAATATGATCAACTAAGGAACCGAAGATACACACATCGACTGTAACGTTTCTTTAATATTTTTGTTACTTAGGATGGATTCTAAATAATCTATTAAAAACGTATACAAAGAAGAGAAACGCTTAAAAACCACCGCATAAGTTAGTGTTAGTTATAATTTATTGTTACTTTGTGATATTTAATTATCATTACATTAATTAAAACATTAGACGTTTCGGCCACAATTTAGTCATCCTCAGTAAATTCACAATATTCTGAAGGGGGGAAACCACAGTAAAAGTTTAAAAAAATCGAAAAAATTTTTTTTCGCTTATAAGGTGCTTTAGGGTCTTAAGAATAACATACCAAAAGATGGAATATCCAAATTTTCCATTCTGAAGCATTGCATAATGTGCAGTATGTAAGTTATGTAGGCGATGAAGACTCGAAAACCTTCAAAGGTGTCACTAAACCGTACGAAAACGTGACGATAACTAAAAAGGAATGCGTAGATCACGTACAAAAACGCATGGGCACCCACCTCCGTAATTTGAAGAAACGCACAAAAGGCTTGGAAGGAAAAGGGAAATTGACAGGCAAACTGATCGACGAACTGTCAATATATTTCAGGTTAGCTATTCGTAGAAATTGCGAATCAGTCGAAAAAATGAAGACACCTATATGGGCCACATTACTTCACAAAATATCTACGGATAACCATCCCCAATACGACAATTGTCCGACTGGAGAAAATTCATGGTGCTCGTGGCAAAGGCCGAAATCTTCTAACACTTTGGCTACCTATACGCACAAATCACCAATGTCTGATATAGTTTATGAAGCAATTAAGCCAGTTTACGAACAACTCACTACGGATGATCTTCTCACTCGCTGCATCGGGGGTTTCACTCAAAACAGCAATGAGAGCTTCAACTCGACAGTGTGGGCGATGGCTCCGAAAACTATGAATTCCGGCAAAATAATCATCGACATTGCTACGAACATCGCTTCGTGTGTTTTTAATGACGGATTAATATCAATTTTACATATAATCCAGGTCATGGGCATGAAAATTGGTCCAAAAAGTCACGAACTATGCATGGACTTGGATGAGAAACGCATACAGAAAGCGGAACGATCTTTGAGTGAGGGCGCAAAACAGGCCCGCATCGATCTGAAAACAATTCGAAAGGCCAAACAAGAGCAGGAGATAGATGAAGAAGGCCAATTGTATGGCGCAGGCATCGCAGATTAGAGGTATATAAAAATATTATATGATTTTACAGTACTTAAAACTTTAAACGCGTTTTTCTCGAAACCACTTTTTTTAAACTGGGCGGACACATAACTCGAATAAATCTTACCGATCGGTTTCAAATGTTGACAGTATATTCAGAATACCTTTCTCTATGGAAGTGCGTAGGGTTTTTTTTTATATTACATGGTTTTTTTTTATCAACAATTTTGTGGCGTTTTTTTTTTGTTAAATTTGCAAGTTTTCCTTAAAACGTGCACCATTTTGCGAAAAATTAATATATCGAAAAAATCCTACGTACTTCCATAGCTATTGATATATAGAACCTAAAAAACTGTCATTTTTTGTTCCAGGTCAAAAATTAAGGACTCTAGATGTCCGCCCATGGTCCCTCCTTCAAAAATAGGCGCCATCGGACAAGTGCGGCACAGCCGCCATTTTGTACCAAAAATGTATGAAAAAATTCTTATTTGTACTTCATTCATAATATTATAATGCTTATTTTATAAATTTTTGATTGATCATTTCATTGAGCCAAAAAAAATTCCTGAAAATATACTTACTTTTTCGTGCTCTAGTGTGGTTTCCCCCCTTAAAACACAAAGTTATATATAGCTGACATTAAATTTGACCGTCGTGTAATATAACTATGTATAAACGTGTTCTTTCATCATGTGAAGGTGCATCGTACAATAATGTTGCACCGCCAATTGTCATATTATGAATTATGTAGAACAAGAATTTCCAGATTCTAATTTAAAAAATTAACCTCTCATTAATATCTTCTAGTCGAAATGTATGAGAATAAAATCGTTACATGTTTTACAGCAAAAAATGATGAATCTCAAGTACATCCTTTGCACAGATGGAAATTTGTCATGACAATGTGTGTTGTTATTTGTCATATCATATATTTTACCACTATTTATATATATGAGTCAAAAGTTAAGAAAGTTCTAGAATTATTTATTAAGTGTGAGAGAGATCTTTCTTAAACAGAGGCAGATAAACATCAAGCAAACCTTCAGTGTCACTTTGCTTATTGATACCACTTATTTGGCCTTTTATGTATATCATTTCAGAAATTATTCTTTTCATTAATGATTGTTCTGTGTCTAAAATTCTTATGTTATCCCAATCCAATTCATGCATCTCATTCAACTGGTGACGTGAAACCACTGACGTCTCGGAAGTGGATTTTCTTATGTCAGCCTTATATTCTTTTATAGTTTAGAGTTTTTAGTTTCCTTTTTGTTTGGCCAACATAAGAAGATTCACAATTTAAACAATTAATTTTGTAGACTACTCCACGATGATTTAAATATCTCCCAGAATTAATAGGTTTTTTATAAATATCGAAGATAATTCTTCCTTCTTGTCTCATTAATTTTACGTCTAAAAAATTTATGCCGTTTTCATCGCCAAAGTCAACATTAAATCTAAGCCTTTCATGATATGAGTTAAACAATTCCAGAACTCCTTCAATCTTGTCTTTATGCACCTTTAACAATGTCATTCACATAACAAAAAAAATAAAAAGAAATAAAAAGACGAGATAATATTATTAGCAGTAATAATTTCTTGTTCTAAATCTTGTAGAACTATGTTCGCTAAAAATAGAGGACAAAGGAGAACCCATTGGCATGCCAAAAATCTGTCTAAATATATTTTTTAATAGAATAAAAACCTTGGAAAGTAGAACTAATTTAAATCAAAATCGTGAGGAAAATAATAATGAATGTGATTCTAATGCTAATGATGAATATGATTCTAATTCAAAGAAAAAGTTTTTCACGATATCATACTTAAGCAAAGTATCTGAAAAATTCAAAAAACACATATTCATGGCTTTAATATAATTTATAAACCTGAATAAAATAAATACATTTATAAAAACTGGAAAAGATCCTTTGCTTAAGGATGACCATCGTGAAGTAGTCTACAAAATTAATTGTTTAAATTGTGAATCTTCTTATGTTGGCCAAACAAAAAGGAAACTAAAAACTCTAAACTATAAAAGAACATAAGGCTGACATAAGAAAATCCACTTCCGAGATGTCAGTGGTTTCACGTCACCAGTTGAATGAGATGCATGAATTGGATTGGGATAACATAAGAATTTTAGACACAGAACAATCATTAATGAAAAGAAGAATTTCTGAAATGATATACATAAAAGGCCAAATAAGTGGTATCAATAAGCAAAGTGACACTGAAGGTTTGCCTGATGTTTATCTGTCTCTTCTTAAGAAAGATCTCTCTCACACTTAATAAATAATTCTAGAACTTTCTTAACTTTTGACTCATATATATAAATAGTGATAAAATATATGATATGACAAATAACAACACACATTGTCACGACAAATTTCCATCTGTGCAAAGGATGTACTTGAGATTCATCAATTTTTGCTGTAAAACAGGTAACGATTTTATTCTCATACATTTTTAGAAGATATTAATGAGAGGTTAATTTTTTAAATTAGAATCTGGAAATTCTTGTTCTACATAATTCATAATATGATAATTGGCGGTGCAACATTATTGTACGATGCACCTTCACATGATGAAAGAACACGTTTATATATAGTTATATTACACGACGGTTGAATTTAATGGCAGCTATATGTAACTCTGTGTTTTAACAATATTGTGAATTTACTGAGGATGGCCAAATTGTGGCCAAATTGTCGAAACGTCTAATGTTTTAATTAATGTAATGATAATTAAGTATCACAAACTATAACTTCTGCAGTAGTTTTTATGCTCTTCTTTTTATACGTTTTGAATTATAACCATGTTCGTTTTTATGATGTATTTTAATTTATTAAACATCATGGAAATAAGTGGATAAGTAGATAAATAAATAAGTAGATTAGTCTGTTGTTTGGAAAATAGCGTTTCATGCATTTTGACGTGTCACTAAATGTCAATATGTTAATGAACTTATAATTAAAAAAAAATAACATTACATTTTTATTTTCCACTTTTCTAACTTTTTTTTACGAAAAAGGGGGAAACATATACTTATTGTAAATCATATTAGATAGGTATGCGCGAAATACTTTTTTTAAATCATTACTGCCTATTACTTACCTATTTAAATATATAAAAATGTCTTATATTTTTTTATTAACATTCAGAAATGTTAATAAAACTCTTTTGAATATGACTATTAATTTTCAATTTTGGACTTGACAAAAACATTAGAAAAAATCGCAAAGCTTAGTAGGGGCATCCGATTACCTTGTATTGGAATTCTTGAGTGTTTCTAGACATTACAGGAATGGTACAAATATTATTTCGTTGTCTGTATGTACACCCTTTAAATACGACACGCGGAAATGTCGTCAGACACAACAGACGCGCCTGCTGATACCTAGTCACTGCGAGGAAACCGACTCATTTCCGGTATATTTCCAGCGTCAAAGGCAGTTCGCGCGGTGGTTTTCTCCGTCTCATGTCGCGAAAAGAGAAAATCGACTCTTAGCATTATGACAAGGTAATATGATGCGACGTACCAAAGGGCGTTCTTGAAGACGATAGATCTCATCGATCTGCTCTAGCAGTCGATCGAGAGCGCCATTACCAGAATCAGGCTCGGGAAAGGGACGAGAAGAGACTCGATGAAAAGAGCAGAAATTGCGATTTTCAGGTTGGCTATTTCCAACCTACCTTCGTCTTTTTCTCTGCATCCTCTTTCTTTATTCCCTCACACTACTCTCCTCCGGAAATCTCAGAGAGATTCAACACTCCGGCTGTATTTTATGTTTGGCAAACGCGGGAGGAAGAAGAGAGTATAAAAAGAATTGACACAATCGCTGATGATCGCGCAAACATGCTTATTGAATTCTTAGTTCCTTACTCGAGCATAATTTGATTACCGAACGTCGTCGGCATTTCACATTATTTCCAATCGTAAGCTTGTAGCGATTTCCGTGATTTGAATCAGAATGAATTGCCTGTTGTATTGTAAAATATTATAGTACCCGCATGCCACCGGATTCTCCATGTCGATCTACTTTTCATCTCGTTTATAATTCATTGCATCTCTCCTGTATCTTGTCGGGCGTAAGCAACCTGATAACGGATCTCTTCCCTTCTACTACCATTGTTTTATCGAGTATGCATCTCGCCTCGCATTTAGTTGAAAGTATGCGAAAGAAAGAACACTCCGTTTGTACAAAAGAGAGAAATGGCGAGAGAAATGGCGCAGATCTCTTGAAAAATAAAAGCAATATTGTTCCTCGGAGAGAATGCTTCTTGCGAAACAATTTTATTGTTTTATTTAACCTCTCGCATTCGCACGCGCGCGCGCGCACTTTCAGGTGCTTTCATTAAACGCGTGCTTTGGATATTTCATTCAGCAATTTTCACGAAATTCTTTTACAAGCGAAATTGATTGTTATTCACCTAAAAATTGCGACTTGTGTAGCAATCGGCCTTCGCTTTCCTTTTTCTTATTTCGCTTAATTGTAATTTGTATTATCATTTTTCACTGTTAGATATCAAAGAAGCAATGGCAATTTTTGAATTAAATAACATTTTTTTATTTTTAATTTCCATGTTTATGTCAAAATACAAATCAATCCATTTTTGTTAGTTGCAAAGTAAACTTTGTAACATTAACGTACTTTAATAAATAATACATTAAATATGAGTCAATTTTCATATATTTTCTTAAGTTTAATTATTTAATTCCATTTTTAACGATATATTAAATAGAAACAGTGGCGACTTATAGAAATGATTAAAAATAATTCAAATTGAGTATAATTTGACATTATGAATTTAATGATATTGATGTGTGATTAGTACTAATCTTGTTTTTTACTTTATTTTTGCTCTTCAATTAAAACATTTCTTTGCACTAACAGCGCAATCGATGGGACGCGAAGAAATTGACCGGATATAACGAAAAATGTATAGCCAACACACTAGCGATGAACTATCGTCGATCATCATCAGAAAAAAAGAGGGCCATCATGTTTTTACAAGAATGAAGGAGTCACAGAAACATAAAAGCGGTTTTTCATTGTAGCGGTTTGTGATGCTTCAAGTCGACACTCGTCAACGTTGTGATGTCGTCGTTTCGACATGATATCGATTCGAGGATTACTGCTGAATCTGATCTGTTTGGACAGAGAGATAACTGCAGCGTGGTACGTAAAATGATGATTACATCATTCTTAACGCAAATGACTTGTACCCTCACAAGCATTGTGACAACTAATTGCGCAGTAAATATAATTATTATAATATTTTTACAGTTTATTGCATTTTAATTAATTTATTTTCACGTTATGTTATGATAATATCGCTTGGTAATTAATTAGGTCATTAATTGTTTTAATGTTATTAATTCCGTTTACGTTCTCGATAATGATAATAATAAAAAGAATAGCACTGAGATATAATAGAATGCAATTTTACGGATAACACTATATTCTGGCTTATCATCCGTCATTCAGCTGATTTCACAAATTGTATTTAA